TGCCATCACACCCACTCTCTTTCTTTCTCCTGTCGGGAGGGGACTGCTGTTGGGGAGGTGCTAGACGATGGTTAAAGCAGGGGGTTGGAAATTTGGGGCACGTGGCTTCTATTTGCTGCTTTGCTACCGACCTGCTGTTTGACCGTGGGCAAGTCCAGTCCCCGGCTCGGTGCCTCAGATTCCCTTCACTCAGCCGGGGCTGGAGACAATGCTACTGACTCGCAGCAAAGCAGAGGGCGTGGAAGCCTTGTTAGGAGGCGGCTCGGTGGAGATAAAGCAGGGGGTTGGAAATTTGGGGCACGTGGCTTCTATTTGCTGCTTTGCTACCGACCTGCTGTTTGACCGTGGGCAAGTCCAGTCCCCGGCTCGGTGCCTCAGATTCCCTTCACTCAGCCGGGGCTGGAGACAATGCTACTGACTCGCAGCAAAGCAGAGGGCGTGGAAGCCTTGTTAGGAGGCGGCTCGGTGGAGAAACAAGTTCCTCGGGTTGGAGGCGCTGCAGCAGAGCATCTCCTGCTCCTGGGAGCCCTGGAGCAAAGAGGAGGGACATGGTGCCGAGTCCACAGAAGGACAGGCCGGAGGCAGCATCAGAGCCAAGGCGCAGTCAACACCCCTGGGGAAAGCTGGCCCAGCCCAGTTTGACGGAGGGCCCAATCCAGCACGGGGCTAAGGGCCTCCAATTCCCATTGGCTCCAGAAGAGGCGGATCGTGACCGGCTCCTTGCAGGATTGGGCCGCAAGGGCCGCCCCTGGCACAGTGCCTAGGATTCCCAGGTGGCATTAACCTGACCGAGCACCTCCCACGCCAGGGGCATTCTGGAATCGGTGCCATGGACACGTGCCCATTTCGGGCCCAGCTGCCGAGCGCTGGGGAAGGAAGGTTAGAGACCCGGCTGGGTGCTTTGCTCTGTCACCACCAGTGGGCCATTCCATTGGGGAGGAGGTTAGGCTATGTCTACACTCGTGGCTTCTTGCGCGAGTAATATGCAAATGAGACTAAGCGTGGAATATCGCCGAGCCTCATTTGCATATGTAATGAGCCACCATTTTTTGCAGAAGAGGCTCTTGTGCAAGAAGGAGCTGTCTACACTGCCCCTTCTTGCACAAGAAAACCCCTCTTGCGCAATGCCGCTACACCTATTACTTTTCAGAAAGAACGGCATTGCACAAGAGGGGTTTTTCTTGCGCAAGAAGGGGCAGTGTAGATGCTCCTTCTTGGACAATAGCCTCTTCTGAAAAAAATGGTGGCTCATTAGATATGCAAATGAGGCTCGGTGATATTCCACACTTAGCCTCATTTTCATATTACTTGTGCAAGAAGCTGCGAGTGTAGACATCGCCTTAGTGTTTGGCGTGAAGCTTTTATTGAGCCGGGGGGGCCAGGAGCAAGTCCTGCCCTCTCTTGGCCCCAGACCGCTGCCGTGGTAACATAAAATACATCAACCTAGAAGATTTGCCCGGCGTTGCTCGGGTCCTTACCTCTGGCGCCGCCAGAGGAGGGATGCACGGGCCCCGGCTGAGGCCGGTCCAGGTTTGTCTGCCCCCTGCGCTTCCCAGCCAGAGTGAGGAATACAGAGGACTGCGCTTCCCTGTTGCTCCCAGACGAAGGGGAACAGCCAGCAATGTTCCCGTGCAAATCAGAGGGAGCTTCAGCACCGCACTGCCTTCCCTACAGGATGCCTGGTGGATGGGGGTGGGGGTGGGGGGCTCAGGGCTGGGAATGCTGTGGGTCCCT